TAATTTTTTGTAATTTAAGTTTTTGCGGTTAGAAATTACGGCCAGTTAAATCATTTTTTTTTTTTTGTTTTTTCGCTTTAGCAAATTGCAGAAGTGAGAATCTGCGGTATTCTTATTGTTTTTGTTCAGATTGCTATTTAGGGTTAGAGAGAAAATATTAGCAAAAAACGATGAAAAGGTTGTAAAGAATTAATAAAATAGGTAAGAAATGTTTCGATCCATTAAGTCATATACATTTCTTACCTTTATCACAATTGGACCTCGTCAGTTATATTTGCAGGTATTTCGAGTATATGAAGCAGTGGCTGCGCGGCAATATGAGTGAAAGTGAATTTGATTTGGCATGTCTTAGACTACTGCCTGATAACCAGACACACCTACACAATGAACTTTTCATAGAATTATTATCTGAATTGGGGTAAGTTTTTAGATTTTTTGGTGGCCGATCAGACTTGTTTTGTCCTTTTTATAATATACATAATCAGTTCGGTGGCCTTTTCTAAGATTTCAGAAAGAGGGTCTTCCTGGGAGCATTTAACAGGCCCAGCAGGATATTTGGCTTACTTACCTGGATTTTAGGAACCATTACTGGTTCAGCCAGCTGGCTTGAAGAAGCGTATAGTAAAGGTAGATGTTCAAAACAATAGCATTTGCGATCTGGCTGTACCCGGGAGTATCAAGGATTTTTTTGTAGGTTTTGGAATGATCAGCAGCAATTGCTCGGCTTTTTTTTCTGAAAAATTTGGTCAAAACTAAAGTTTGCGTGAGAACTGACCATAGGAATACTTCTTGTTAAAAGCCTTTTTTGCATATTTCAGTTCAGAAACTCTCAGTTCCAGTAGCACTGCCGATGCTTTGGATATTTCCAAAAGAAAGGTTTCGGTTTCCAAATATTTTTACGAAAATTCACCTCATTTTAATGGATCATGAAAGCGTTTCTGTCACGAGACTGTCCGCTGGGCAATACAGCAGTGATCAAAGCAACTCGGCAGTTTGCCAGCTGCATAGTTGGAGAATAAAACCATGGATTTTCAGCTGATCAAAGTAATCAGCAACAGAGATTTCTTTCTCACACATCTCATTTCATTTTACACTCGTTTTGTATCTCTCTTTATTGGTTTTGGGCTTTCCAATTTGGTTTTTTTTATTTTCTCAGATTTTTACTGTTTTTCTTCTACAATGGGGGGTGGGGGGGCCTGTTGTTGGTAATGAAAAACGACCTGGTCATATTTAAAAATCTATAAAGGTTAAACTAATCCTGAATTTTTGCAGTGCTATTTGCAAAAAGAACAAATGGCAGATTTGAGTAAAGAATGAAGACGGCAGATCCCTTTTTCCTTACCCTAGTTGCC